TGACAGATACAAGTGATATAGTTCCTGTGTTCTTTAAACTACATGTGATGTCGTTGTGGCTTGTAACAGCCGCTTCAGCTGTAACCACCAAGAATATTGGAATCTGGACTGTAGCCATTATCTCTCAGCATCTCCTTCAGGATGTTGAGACGATCTCAAGAGGCATCTCACGTTGGAGGGCAGAAAAGATAAAAGTTCAATATTCAATAAAAATTAAAACCTTTCAGTTTGGCTGAACTGTGCTTTTACAAGTAAGGCACCCCATTTGGAAACACTTACTTCCTCTCAAATTCTTTGTAGGCACTTTGCAACCAGCTCAGAGATGGCTTGTTTCGACTGTTTAATCCATAGTGAAAGTAGACAAGTGTGTAATCACTTTCCACACACTGTTCCAGTGTGTACTTCAAATATCTAGAAAGAGAATTTTGGAAGAGAAAAAAATAATATATAACATTAATAGATGCACCATAGATGTCAATGCTGCTAACATTGGATGTTTTGCATTGACAACAGATGAAAATGTAGTCATATTTTTCCCTTTTGCTTTTAGAGTTAGATGATGCTGGGGGGGGGGGGATGTGAATGAGAGTCTAGCTAGACATAACAACACTAAACCTAGCGTGAGAATCAAGGTTATTGAGCCCAGAGCTGATAAAGAATTGACGGGCTGGAGAACTGGAGAGGAAGCCCGTGCTTCAAGCTAACTGGGGAATGTGATTTATGACTGTTAATTGGAGGAGGGAATTATGCTTTGATACTATGTGCCCAGGGGAGGGGAATTCAGTTTTTGGCTTTGATTATGCAGTGCCGATATTATGCTATTTGAATAAAAGATTCTTTAGGTAAAAAATGCCTCGAAGTTCTTTTGAAGAGTTTCATCTGTCAGAACCATGACAATAGGTTTATAATGGGAGAAAACAATTTATCTAAGAAAGAAAAGGAATATGCTTGATCAATATTCTGAATATTTACCATTTTCACACACTTGTGCAGATAAATCTCAGCAAATGCCAAATGACATGCACCCCATCTTAGCACAGGAGACTTGAGAACATAAGAACCCTCAATTCAGAGACCTCTGTGTGGGATGTGATGGGGAAGTGTCAAAACCTGCAAGATGACAGCTGTGGTATTGCGACTGAAGCTCCATTCCTTTTATGTGTGCATGTTCAAATGGGGTGAACTTTTATTATGACACCACATCCAACACTCCTCTTGCAGATGTTGACTTTCCCCAGGAGATGCCCTTCAAATTCTTACAATTTCTCCTAGAATAATTTGGATTTCTCTTCTTCTAGACTAAAATCTCCACAAAACCAATATGTATGTGAGAAACTTTTCTGAGAAAATGTATGCCATCAGCGCTTGAAATGCAAATATAACAAAGAACAACATCGAAGAAATGTCTATGGAGATTCTCAGCCATCCAGGTCATAGTTATCCCAAGGATGCTTTTTCATGAGGCAACTGGACTTTCTTGTTGTTGTTTTTTGAAGATGTTTCGCTTCACATCCAAGAAGCTTCTTCAGCTCTGACTGGATGGTGGGGAATGGAAAGATTTATACTCAATTGCCTCGTGAAAAAGCATCTTTGGGATAACATCAAAGAAACTGGCATTAAAAATGGCTTTTGTGGACACTGACATTAACACATCAATTCAGGTACAGATGCAAAAGCTCCATCCAATACAAAACACCATCTATAAACAAAAATGAAGGAACTGGAGGTGGGGGTTACCATTATTTTAAAAAAATATATAAAAACTTGCAGACAACAAAGCAGATGGGACGTGTTCTGTACATTCTTATGTTACTGATTTCTAGTTGACTTGAAGCTGATACTGATGCATAGATAAAAATGAAAGAGAGAAGTCACATTGGCAAACCGAGTTGCATACTGGAGTTGTGTGGTAGGAAAAAGTAGGGAGGACCAGAAATCAAAGAATAAATGGACTTACTCCAATAACTGGCGGTGGTTGATTTGGTGAGACGCTGGCAGGCGGCATGAACTGAAGGCAATCACTTTTCTCCCCAAAGAGTCGTCACCTGCAGAATCAACAAAGGTCTCCAGGTGATATTGTGGTTAGAAGTTCAGGTGTTCTGCTCAGGAGGTCTAGTTGAAAGGTGAGTCTTAAGTCTAAAGTTTTTCAACCTTAGCAATTTGAAAATGTGTGGGCTTCAACTCCTAGAATTCCCCAGCCAGCCATTTTCAAGTTGCCAAAGTTGTAAAACACTGGTTTAAAGCCTCAGCTTTGTGGAGTTCAAAACAGAGAGCACATAAAGTCAGCTTTACACTTTATTAAAGTTGTGCTTGTTGCTAGCAGTGGAAGCAACAGCAGAGGTGTTTGCAGTGTGGTCCCAAAAAATCAAAATGATGGTCGCAAACAGGCAAGCTCCACCTAGATGCAGATAATAAATGGTTGGGGCTTCAATTGCAGCTAAGCAATGAGTCGTAAGTCAAAGACAGATAAAATATTAAAAAGGGAGATTTGATTATGCAGTTGCAGCCACTGTCCTGATATTTTGCACCCTAAAATAGTTGGGGTGACCAACTATCTGATTCCACATTTTGGCAGCAAAGCAATCTGAGAATGTATGGGCTTCAGTAAACTTCTCTAAGCAGCCCTAATTGTTTCTCAATTCAGACAACTAAACACAACACAAAGCATTGGAGATATTGATTGTTCTGTATTGAAGGGTTTTGCTAAACCTGAACATTCCATTGATTGTTTTCACAGGGGGCGGGAAGTGTCACAGACAGCTTTCGATCACACATTTTTCAAAGATCTTTATATCAATGGCCAGGAGGTGTCATTTAATAGTTCTCAATTATGAGCTGTCTGGATACCTGCAGATATGGAAACTCCTCCTCTGAACTTTTATGAGAATTTTATGAGAAGACTCCTGCGAGTCCCCTGGACTGCAAGGCAATCAAATTGGTCAGTCCTAGAGGAGATCAACCCCGACTGCTCTTTAGAAGGCCAGATCCTGAAGTTGAAACTCAAGTACTTTGGCCACCTAATGAGAAGGAAGGACTCACTGGAGAAGGGCCTAATGCTGGGAAAGATTGAGGGCAAGAGAAGAAGGGACGACAGAGAATGAGATGGCTGGATGGAGTCACTGAAGCAGTAGGCGTATGCTTAAATGGACTCCAGAAGATGGTAGAGGACAGGAAGGCATGGAGGAACGTTGTCCATGGGGTCACGATGGGTCGGACACGACTTCACAACTAACAACAACAAAAAAATAGAGGGAGAAACAGTCTTGCTCAGGCCCAATTAAGGAGAAAAATTGTTTTATGGAGGGTAGTCAGTGCTATTGATCTGAGTGCAACACTCGTTTTTTGCTAGTTTGGCTTTAAACAATCAGATGTTTTCTTGCTTATTGAAGATGTTTAATATAATCTATTAGTAACTACTCACTTAATAATAGTTGTTAGAGAATTTCTGCTTGAGTTGACAGTGAACATTTGCATTTCTATCACTTTCTCTAGTTTTAGCAGAACTTTCCTGCTTTCACATGCCTTCATTGGTTTGTTGGCAAAATTTCATCTTGGTTAAAGTATTTTGTTTTCACCTTCTTCAATATTCTTTGATGTTTCTTGGTCCTAGTTCTGTTCTTCATTCCTTGCTCCTCAAATGAAGGATGGAACTGCAAAGATCTTGCTGGCTATGGAATACGTAACTGAGTTCTCTTCAGATTTCAGCCAAGGATCTGAATTTTCATTTTAGTTTTAGACCAGGGGTCTTCAAACTTGGCCCTTTTATGACTTGTGGACTTTAACTCCCAGAATTCCTCAGCCAGGCACGCTGGCTGAGGAATTCTGGGAGTT